AGTGACTATCGAGAAGATAAACAAGAAAGGAATAATCATGGAAACGCAGAGTTTTGTTTTCATAAGCCGAAACGCATGCCAAAGCCAATCTAGTTTTTGACGCGTTCTTTGATTTTTACAGGCTCCAAGCTGAATAAAACTCGCTGCGAAAACACTGAAAGAAACCATTTTTTACGATTTTTTATTTGAATAGATCCGTCGAGCATGCAGATTACGAATACAATATTAGTTTTCAAGATCGTCCATTACTTTTATCGATTTTATCGATTTTTTGAAAATTTGAGCTAGGGGGCTGGAATTTGGCACAGGGTGTAATCGTTGGGGTGATCCCTTGGGGGTGATCAGCATGCTCGATTACCCCCCTGTGCGAACTCCCAGCCCCATAGCTCAAAACCCTGTATACATATGTAAAGGCTACTGCATGACGAAAGCGCAACAGCAGTATTAGTTGAGAGGACGCGAACTCGCCGCGCGTATCTTCACCGTTGTAAATCCTGCGCCTTATGCGTTCTACGGCTAATGAAACCGCGTTCGCGCCCAAAGATATTGCGCCTTAGTCATACAGCAGCCTTTATATATCATGATTTATAACAAAGCGCTAAGCATTTGTCTGTTCGTGTATATCAAATTGTCAAATTCCATCAAATTGTCCACTGATCGATCAGTGGACAATTTGATGGATGGATAAATGGATGGACTGGTACATCATGTACCGAAAATGACATGCCACAGTTGGTACTTCATGACACTTCGCATTTTGTGCTCAATATATACTACTTCTGCTAGTCGCTATGCATGTATTCGAAACTCCCAATAATGTGTAAGAAATCCACTATATCGCCGATTCGTTGACTGTACGGACTGGACATAACCGCGGAGCACGCGTCGCGAGGTAAAACGCTTGCTCCAATACAAACTCGCCATTGTTAAAATCGTGCTCTCGCGACATTTTAACCGCGCCGCGCATGGTCCGCAGCGGTTGAGCAGTCCGTACGGCCAACGAATCGACGATACCTTCTAAATTCTAATTCTCAACACCATCGCCTTTACATTATTTACCTACATCATCATCGAATGCATCCGGCATCTTTCCCAGAAGTCACATTTCCAACAATGTTGGCCTTTTTTAGCAACCCATGAGCTTTATCATTTTCCCGAAATTATATAAGAACTCTATTAGATTTGTCTGGATACGACTCGAAAGTGAGAGCAAATGTGAAGTCATTCTTGCCTTTCTCTCCCACCCCGTTCCATATTTAATCGCTTGTTTGTATTTCATTTTTAAGGTGGTGCCTCGTCTACGATGTATTTGATTAATAAATAGATAAATAAATATATCTATCTGTCAGAGAATCGCAGAGCAAGCTACAGAATAGTTTCAAGCCAATCTTTTGCATAGTGCACACTGGCAGCGTCTAAGCTCGCCCTGCGCAACGGCGAATGGATCCAATGCACGGGTCTTCAAAAATGGCACCTAAAGCGGGTCCGCTGGCTCTTAGTATGCAAAACTGGATAACTCATTCATCTTGCAACGCCATGTATCTGTCTGATAAATAAATTTGCGAGCCAAGAACTAGTCCAAAAAATGTTGAAATCTGTTTTCTGCCAAAGAAGTGCCAAAAAGGAATGATTGCTAACCTAAAAATTGAAAAGATTTTTGCACAAAGAGGTAGGCCATAGTGTCTACTATCCTTATGAGAACAATGATGTTGAAATAATTTCAGTAATTCATTCAACTTCGTATCTGTCCTTCTGCAGAAAAGTTTTTTTTTCGCTCAAAATCACCATTCTTACATGGAAAAGCTTTGAGAATGAACAGCTATTCACAATTCATTCATGGTGCTCAGCATCGCGCAGTGATTACTGGAGTTATTATGATGCCATCACGAGGGCCACAGAGCGCATGAGGCGCAGGATTTACAGGGCATATCAAAACACAGTGTCGCTTACTTCATCATCTCCATTCCCGCGCTGGACTCTGCATCTCTTCCGCGAACATGCTCTCTGATCACTTTCTCAGGGCAAGCGTAGGAAAGGCGGAGCCTCAATAGATTGGAAGTGATTAGAGAGCATGTTCGCAGAAGAGACGCAGAGTCCAACGCGGGGATGGAGATGCTGATGCAAGCGACACTGCCTTTGATAAGCCCTGTACTCGGTGAGGATACGCGCCACCGCGTTCGCGCCCGCTCAACTGATACTGCTTCTGCGCCTTCGTCATGCAGTACTCTTATATATATATGTATATATATACATATATATGTACATATATTTATGTATATATATCTTACATATAAAGCTGAATGTCTGTTTGTATGTCTGTCTGTCTGTCTGTCTGTCTGTCTGTATGTCTGTGTGTACGTATGTTCCAAATAGAAAATTCCATTTCTGAACCGATCGGGACCAAACTTGGCACACATACACTTCGGGCCCCGGCGGGTGTCATAGGCTACTTTTCGTCATCGATCGATATCGATTTTATCGATTTTTTTGCAAAATTTGAGCTACGGGGCTGGGAGTTGGCACAGGGGGGTAATCGAGCATGCTGATTACAAATATATTATTGACAGGCCCGGGCGGAGCCGGGTTTGCCAACTAGTATATATATATATATATATATCAGTGGCGGTCCGAGAAATTTTTTTCGGGGGGGGGGGGGCGCGACAAAAATTTTTTTCTAAAAAAGGTGCGTGGCGTCAGCCACGCACTCCGAAAAAATTGTTGGGGTGCTTCTCAAATTTTTTGCGGGTCCCCGACCCCTAAACCCCCGAAAAAAATTTTTTTATAAGGCTAAAATGAATTTTTAGAAAATTTTAAAAATTATTTTAATTATTTTCAAGTGCAAACAAGTCGTTTGCACAATTTTATAACCCATATAGGTAAGTTTCAAAAATTTAGCGACCCATTCTCGGGGGGGGGGGGGCGCGCATATGATATATATATATATATATATATATATATATATATATATATATGTATTAGGTGGGTGCAAAAGTTCGTTCGCCGGTTTTTCAAAAAATCATAACCTTCTTTCTACTTGATGAATTTCTTCCGTTTTATATTCATTTGAAAGAGGAAACCTTTCGCTTTGAAGCAGTGCCTTTGCCATGAATTGATATGCGAAAGTTTAAGGGTTAGAAGCAATTGAAGAAAATTACTTAAGATTGGCATTTTTTGAGCTGGGTCACGAAAAATTCTGGAAGTATTTTTGTTTGATAGAGAAAATTATGCTCTTTACTATGGTTCCTCTCTCACGAATTAAAACGAAAAAGATCGAAAGTTATGAGCAAATAAAGAGAATTACTTCAGTTTTGCAGTTTTTGAGCATGCTCAAAAAAGCCTAAAAACATCACAGGAAGGGCGGAAAAGTCATAAACATGGGTTTTGTAACCTTCTCTTTCTAGCTGAGCGAGTTTTGAGCTAATCAAAAGCAATTTTCTTTTTCGTGATTTTTTCGGATTTTCGGGCCTGCGTTTTTCACGAAAATTAAAATTGCTCTCGACTAGCATGATTTTCATTCAGCTAGAAAAAGAAAATCACAAAACCCATGTTCATGACTTTCCCGCCTTTTTTGTGACGTTTTTGGGCTATTTTGGGCATGCTCAAAAATTACAAAACTGAAGGAATTCTCTTTATTTGCTCATAACTTTCGATCTTTTTCGTTTTAATTCGTGGGAGAGGAACCATAGTAAAGAGCATAATGTTCTCTATCAAACAAAAATACTTCCAGAATTTTTCGTGACCCAGCTCAAAAAATGCCAATCTTGAGTGATTTTCTTCAATTGCTTCTAACCCTTAAACTTTCGCATATCAATTCATGGCAAAGGCACTGCTTCAAAGCGAAAGGTCTCCTCTTTCAAATGAATATAAAACGGAAGAAATTCATTGAGTAGAAAGAAAGTTATGATTTTTTGAAAAACCGGCGAACGAACTTTTGCACCCACCTAATATATATATATATATATATATATATATATATATAGTCCTAGTAAGATAAAGTTCGGTTACAAAACTTGCAAAAATAATGAAGGCTAGTAAAGGCTTTTGAGAATTACTATCTCTTCACGATATGTATTTTGTGTTGACGATAATATGACCTCTAAACACCTTCTGTAGGAATTTGCGGTTCCCTTCATGGAAAGAAGCAAGTTGATTCATGCTCGCATAGGTGACGATCACGGCAACAGGGTGCGAATTGGGAGAAAGTGTAAGGATTGGCATACAAGAAAGAACACTGGTTATTAGGCTGTACTCAGACAATCGCCGGGCAAGCGGCCATGTGATTTATGGGCAGGCGGGCACCGGAAAAATAGTTCGCTGATTTCTTGCGGTCTGCTTGCACAAATTTGGAATAATTTTGGTCAAATTTTTAGACGAACGCTGGAGAACTATCACGGTCTTTCTATGAATAAGTTGCGACCCAGTGGCCGCATTCTCGAGGACTTCCCGCAAGAATATGCAAAATTACCTTTGCTCGTCGTACGCCCGAAACTGCGTAAAAAAGTCCGAGCGCTTGATGAAAGTTTGGCCAGCGCTCGATGAAAGAGATTATTTGACGAGCGCCTGCAGAAAATTCTGTGTTGCTGCCCGCTGGCACAACATTAGCCAGTAAAGGAAGTGCCGCTCGCTGAAGGTTTGGCCACGACCCAAAATTCTGCTGACCGCCTGCAGAAAAGCGCGAGTTTGCGGAGCGTCTGCCCCCGGCGATTATCTGAGCACGTGTACGAGTTTCTTGCCCTCCTGCCTTTGCGCAGGCTAATGTAACACCGCGACGAGGCAATCTCCAGCTGACAGCCACAATTGCCTCCCCCCTCCCCTCAGTAAGACTTGTAAAAACCTGTATAATCCATATATGGAGGGATACCCTCTAAAGCGATAAGGTCGCAAATCTCCCGGCAGCCCTTATTACGCATTTATCAAAATTTCGTTTCGTCCCGAGAGTGTTTTTGAGTACGTCAAAGTAAAAAGTGGAAAGAGAAACCAAAGCAAATACGCTCACTAACTTGACGGAAATCCTCAGGATTCGAGATTGAATAATTTCTTTTCGGTATTTTTTGCACTGGTATGAGCGCTGACAGACCTTTCCTTTTTCTAAACTACGTTGTCAATAAAGTCAATGGAAAATCATGTGCTTCCACATGAGGTTCACTAACCTATCACTATCGGTACCGTACCCGTATTTCTCTTCCCATGATTCACCTTTACGCTGGATCAATAAACGTAACACCGGACGAGCTGACTCAAATGATTTTCGCAAATTCTAAAAGGTTGTAGTTCGAAGACATGATGTAAACTGGAAAGACTTTGAGACGATTTGAAGCATTACGGTGCAGCTGAAACTTTCATTATAACAAGAACCTAAAACTGCGCAAATCGCAACCATAAGGCAGACACTTCACATGCACCTTACAGCATGATTGGCATAGCACTCGCATCGAAAATATACGCAATATAGTGTTTTACAGAGAGACAATCAGCACAAGCACACTGTAAACTTGCCTCATCGTTCGTAATTGGCAGAAGATCACCACATGCTGCATTGTAGCAAAGAGTAAATGGCACATTCTCCAGATGATGCAACTTTTCCACAAGCCCACGAAAACTATCATACGAGTGTACTTCGGGGTTGCTGGGAGTCAAAGAAAACCTTCGCCATTCCGAATCGAATTTTGATTTAACCTCAATAAACGGTTGCTAGCGCGCAAAGTGTATAGTTCAAATTCCCAGATACCTGTAGCAAAGAAGGCATTGATGGTACATGCGTGTGGTGGATGTGGATGGGTGTTATCTGCGTCCGACCATTCTAAATCGAAACTTATTCCTGATAAACTTCTTGGCGCAAAATTGCCCCCACCGAATTCCTACTATTCCCCGATCCGCGACTGGACGATGCCCTGCCGTCTGAATAGGACATTCTGCAAGCAAATCATACCGAAGACCGGATTAAGTCATAGACGAACAAACGAAAAGGATAACATAAAGTAAGTATCAGAGAGATGAAATTGAAGCAAAAAAACTCAGATAACATGACAATGACTTCGAAGACATATAACAAAGTGGCAAGCATACTCTTTATCACATATCAACATTAATAATGAAGTTAGACTGACTGCATGATACCCGACATTACGAAGTTTTTAGACATATTACATCTCATTTATAAAGCTGAATGTCTGTTCGTTTGTCTCTATGTGCTTACTCCGAATGAAAAATCCCATTTCTGAACCGATCCGACCAAACCTTGTACACATACACTTCGGGGCGGGGGGGGAGTAGTAGGTTACTTTTCGTCGCTGATCGACACCGATTATATCGACTTCTTGCGAATTTCACCTACGAGGCTGGGAGTTGGCACAGGGGGATAAGTGAGCATGCTGATTACGAACATATTATCGACAGGGTCGGGCGAAGCCGGGCTTGCCAGCTAGTTACTGATACAACAAAAACTGTTGCAAATCAATCTTCATCAGATTCCAGCTCGAGTCCTTCGATCTCCTGAAATTTACTCCGGTCAGCACAAAAAGGCATTGTATAACCAGAAACAAAACATCACAGATGACATCTTTCATATAGGAATGCCCATAATGAACTACAGAAGAGAAAACGAACACAAAAACAGCTCACTTCATCAAAAAGAGATTCGTCGATTTCTACACTCTGTTCAATCAACGCGACATCGGACAAACTGAGAGTGGCATCCCTCAAGAAAAGCTGTTTGCCAGTTAATTTACCAGCTAAAGCGGTTTCACGGTCCTGTAAGATACGGAGGAGAAATCTATAGAATCAAAAGACTAAGACAATTACATTTCGATCGGACAATAACTGGATTTAGTTGCGTTTACGTTTACGTTTACGAATAAGAAGGACTATTTTGACAGTGGGCAGCGGCGATAATAATGAGTCATGCTGTGCGATTCTTCTATGCGTGTGTGTATAGCTCATTCATTCACCGCACGGACTGGACATCACTACGAAGCACGTGTCGCGCGGTAAAACGCTTTGCCCAGTACAAATTCGCCATTGTACAAATCGTGCTCTCGCAACATTTTAGCCGCGCAGCGCGTGGTCCGCAGCGTCTGTGCAGTCCGTGCAGTCAACGAATCAACGATATGTGTCTGCGTATGGTGTGTGGTTGGTGTATTGGTGTATTGGTGTATTGGTATACTGGTGTAATACTGTACTGCATTGGTGTATTTTTGTATGGTGTATGTGTATGTGTGTGTACATGTGTGTACATGTGTATGTGTGTATATGTGTATATGTGTATATGTCAAATTCCAAGTCCGACAGTCAATGAATCTTGGCATGTCTTGATAAATCGTAGTAGTTTTGTTTCAACTAAGGCCAAGATTGATACACAGCTTTATTAGGCCTACGTTTCGGCGTCTCCGCCTTCTTCAGAGCCTGTAAGGACGATGATATTTGTAATCTATCCCCTCAAATGCTCTATCTCCACCACATCGGTACAACCCAATAGCCGACAGAGCCAGAAACAAACGAGAGAAGCAGGAACAGTTAGCGCTTACCTTATAGCCTTGCAGTCAAGAGTAGGCGCCACCCACAGTGAAGCGCCGCTGCTGTGATATAGATATATTCAAATCACTCCCCGCCTTGACCCGACCCCGACCCAGTAGGTCAAAACCCACAAAGGGTCTGGAACGGTGCCAATTCGTTTGTAACGGCAACGCATTCTTCCTTCCTATTAATTTTTGGATTTCGCGATGCAATCCAAAAGGCCTCAAGAGTTTTGCGGGCTATTGTTTGGGGTTCGTACGATAGGATTGTGACAGCCGTACTGAACGTAGCATTTTCATGACACAGCCTGCTGTGAGCGCCTAGAGGTGTTGATGATCTGCCCTTCGCAAGCCCGTCTAAGTGCTCCTTGATCCGGACGCACACCGGTCGCCCTGTTTCGCCCACGTATTCCTCACCACACGACTGACATGTGATGAGATAGACCACCCCCGCCTTCATGCAATCACCTGGTCTACCGTACGGACATACCACGCAATCGGGAGTCGTACAAATATTGTCGTAAGCACGGTTGCGTATGAGCTGCTTCTTAAGGTTAGGGGGAGGAATGTCTATGACTCTAACATATTCCTGAAGGCCTGATTGATACAGACATATGTATGTATGTGTATATGTGTATATGTGTATATGTGTATATGTGTGTACAGGGCTTTTCAACCTGAGAGTCGCAAGTTTCGCTTAGGGTTGTTTCAGACTGCCGCACTGACTGCAGCAGACTGCAGCAGTCAGTGCGGCAGTATGAAACAACCCTTACGCGGTTCCTCCAACGCGGCCGCCTCGCTCAGGCCGCGCGCGGCGTTTGCTGCATATCGCCCGGATTTCGCCAGGCTTCAGTCGACGCGCAGCCAGCGCCACGAACGCTGCGCGGACCTAAGCGTGGCGTCCTAGCGGGGCGGGTGGGACACTCAGGTTGTAAAGCCCTGTATGTGTATGTGTATATGTTTGTATGTGTATATTTGTGAATTATAGGGCTTATCAAACGCAGTGTCGCTTGCATAAGCATCTCCACATCCGTACTAAACTCTGCATCTCTTCCGCTAACATGCTCTCTGATCACTATCCCAGGGCGAGCGTGGGAAAGGCGGAGCCTCAGTCAATTGGAAGTGATTAGAGAGGATGTTCGCGGAAGAGACGCAGAGTCCAACGCGGGGATGGAGATGCTGATGCAAGCGACACTGCGTTTGATAAGCCCTACATGTATCTTATATATAAAGCTGAATGTCTGTTTGTATGTCTGTCTGTACGTATGTTCCGAATAGAAATTTTTATTTCTGAACCGATCCGGACCAAACTTGGCACACATACACTTCGGGGCCGGGCGAATGTCATAGGCTACTTCTCGTCATCGATCGATATAGATTTTATTGATTTTTCGAAAAGTTCGAGCTACGGGACTGGGAGTTGGCATAGGGGGGTAAGTGAGCATGTTGATACGAATATATTATTGACAGGGCCGGGCGGAGCCGGGTTTCCAGCTAGTATGATGTATATGTGTATGTGTATTTGCATCTGTATGTGCAACCTTCGATTCAACTGGCTTGGCTTCGGGATGGCGGAACTTTGTGACTTAACTGAGGCCGCTCGCGCACGTGACGCACCTGCGTCTCTCTCGCGCGAGTGCTCTCTGATCATTACCTAGCCTTAATTAGGTCACGAAGTCCGCCTTCCCGAAGCCAAGTCAATTGGATCAAATTGTATGTGTGTGTATGTGTGTATGTTGCCGTGTAACACGGCAACTCCACTGGGCAAGCATCGCAGACAGTTCCATAATGACGCAGACATACGCATGGAGGTCACAATTTTAGCGTACGAATCCGAAACCTAGCGCGCAAGACTTTAAAAGCGTTTTGGATTACCGCCAAAAGTCCAAATTTGAATCGAAAAGATGAGTGCACAGACATCACTAATGAGTTGGCGCCTTATCAGAGCCTTTGCGGCTTCTGAGGTCAAGTTGAGGTCAGGTGGATAGGTATATAAGAAAGTAAGAGCCCAGCTACTGGTATAGTGGTCTGCAACACTCGTCGGCATCTATAAAGGTAAGCATTAGTTTGATTCTGCATTCACTTTCGAGTTCCCGGCTTACTGACACATTGGACATCTTCCTAATAAGGGAAGGATACTTGATGACGGTTTCTTTTTGAAATGAAACGTGCACCATTGAATGCATCTCAAAGCGCTGATTCCAAATCTGTTTCCAGTACCTGCTATGCTCTTTTCCGAAAGAAGTTATGAACATTCCTTGTCACAAAAATTTGCACTGTTTTTGATGCAGGATTCTCCAATATCGTTAAAATGTTCGCTTACGCACTATAAAAGAGCGTCCAAATAAAGTAGAGCTTCACGTTAAGCTCAGAAAAACTGTCTTCGATATGTCAGAGTCTAAAAAGTCTGGGAACTGACGATTTTGACGCCTAAATCTCGTAAATCAATAAGGAAAAAAGTTCATAATTTCGTTCAAAGAGTCCCACAGCAGATGATGGACACATTTGGAATCAGCATTTCAAGGCGCATCTACTGGCATACATCTCATTACAAAAGGCCACAGTCACCAAATATCCTTCCCTTGTAAGTCTTGAGGCGGTTTATGATAGGATAGTTCACTTACGCACTCGATAATCTAAAACTCTGAAGAAGGCGATACCGCCGAAACGTTAGTCGAATAAAGGATATACCAATCCAGTTAAACAAGCCACAACGATCATAAGAGGAAATGTCAATTATCGTTTAGTCTTCGAAATATATGTAATCAGTAAAACCTAGTGATGGAAGGGGATCAGCTGTTAGATCCTGTAAGAGTGTGGGATAATTTTACAGGCCCCAAAGTGCCTGAAGATCGAAAACAATGACAGCACTGGATTAGTTAGTCTCCGCTTCCAGATTGTATACAGACTATATGAAGTGACAAACATTACGACGGTAGGAAATATGGAGCATGAAATTTGAAGCGTTACAAAATAAAACAACAGTAATTTTTTTCCACTAAGAGGATATGGAGGAAAAGGTATGATCAAATCTAGTTCCCACTCGGTTTCAAGGAACATACAGCTTGCCAGGAAAAAGCGCGAATTTTCCTACCGTGAAGATTTTCGTAGTCGCTTTTCTGTAATTGATTTATTTTTAGATAAATGACTATTTTGTATGAGAAGTTGGGAAAGTCTTTAACTGTTCAATGAATTTTTCTCGTAGACCGCTTTCAGAAAATATATAGATCGCGGAAGAGAAAGGGTGCTAAAAGTGAAGGTGGGAGAAACATGGTATAATGGGCATGTTCCTTTGCCTCCTCAAAACAACCTTTTCAGAGGAGGACATGCAGGAACACGAGAGACGAAAGATGTACAGCAACCCAACGGCTGATTTCGCGATGGAGCGCAAATTACGATGCGACAGGTTTTCTTCTCAATCCTTCTAAAGCATCCAAATTGTGTACGAGTGGAGGTTCAACAAACAGACAAGCGAATGGATTCAGTTCATCCGCATCCCAAAGATTTACTGATTTCTTCCACCTTAGAGTGCATGAGCATAACAACTGCTACTAAGGACATAAAAAGCTGTCTCAAACGTGGCCCAGAGTTGAGAGCCGATACTTTCAGTATGATCAAGCTCACAAGGTTTATGATAATGCAATGTTCCACTTGTTTCAATCTGCTCCAGTTTCAAAAACAGATGTGTATGACTATAACATACCGATTGTGCAAAATTCGCTCTGCTAGCTTTTCATGAATGCGGGTTTTTCACACAGTTCTCATCATTACGTCATCTGTCACCCGATTAGTGTTCTCGGTGTAGACGAAAATCTTTATCGACTATGAAGATTGTAATTATAGCCTCGTTTCGTCTTCATTTTTTCAACGATTTCAGATTATTAAGTTTTTAGAGTTTGATAGGTTCCTTTCCGCACCACGGAGACACAACCTCCCATAAACGTTGTGACAAGACCTTTACTTACTGTCGCCCAATTCGACAAAGCTCATAGAAGATGTTACATCTGATTACCAAGCAATAAAACTGCATGCCGGTAATCATTACAGCGAAAATCATCAAGAACTACGACGGGAGTCTGCGAGGTTCACTGCTGTTAGACCTCAAGGTGTTTCCTAACTAACCTCATATGTGACAATTATGATTATTATTATTTCGCTTGTCATATCCAGCTATGCTTTGCATGCTCAGAGCACGCTTATGAAGTTTTATGAGAAGTGCGCTGGGTTTTTTGACACTTGGATTCCTTCACAAACCAACTCTGAGGAAGCGATTTCAGAGGAATGACTGAAAAGAACTAACAAGAAAAGGATACTTGGTGACCGTGGCCTTTTGCAATGAGATGTACAGGGTGTCCCAAAAAAATGTTAACACTGTTTGATCGTTAATAACTCCCTTGATTACATGTCTTTCGGCGAGCTTGAGGCACCATTCTGTAGAGCGAGGTTCAGCTTAGATTTATGGTATGGAGCAAACGACAGCTCGCTCTTCACTACTGTAGGATTGCGGTAGGAAATTCCAGCATGTGGAACCGTCGTGAAGTATGCCGTCTGACAAACTTTTTTTCAAAAAATCTGAAAAATCGTGTACTAGGGTTTTCGCTCACGCTGATTTTACTACACTACTTTTTACGAGTGTTTTCAGCTTTTTTGACGGTGTAATCACATTTTTGACACATGCTGGGAAGTCAGTTATTACACTTTACCTAGGATAACTTTGAAAAGAAGCATCGCAGTAAAGTGGAAATTTCATATTCGAAATCAGCGGCTTCCACTACCATAGTACAAGAGATTTTGGCTTGTTTGGCTCTGTTTCGAAGCAGAAAATGGCCTTTGATGGCCTAAAATCCTTGTCAAAGTTCCTACTGTAATTCTACAGTATTGAAGAGTGGTCGATGATCCGCTCCATACTGTAGATCTAAGTTGAACCTCGCTCTACAGAATGGTACCTAAAGCTCGGCGAAATACTTGAAAGCAAGGGAGTTATTAACGATCAAACAGTGTTAACATTTTTTTGGGACACCCTGTATATCAGTAGATGCGCCTTGAAACGCTGATTTCAAATTTGTGTTCATTATCTGCTGTGCCACTCTCTGAACAAAGTTATGGACTTTTTTTTTTCCATATTATTCTCACGAGATCTAGGCAGTTAGAATCATCAGTATTCAGGCTTTTTAGACTCTAATATATCGGAGATAGTTTTTCTGTGCTTAATGTCAAAACAGTGCAAATTTTGGTGGCAAGAAACGTTCATAACTTCTTTCGGAAAAGCGCACAGCAGATACCGAAAGCAGATCTGAAATCAGCGCCTCAAGATGCATTTAAAGGTGTACGTTTCATTCCAAAAGGCCACGGTCACCAAGTATCCTTTCCTCGTAAGAAGTGTACTATGTGAGGTTGCTAGAACCATTCACTTTATGTTGCACCAGTTGACTTACCCGGCTCCGCCCGGCCCTGTCATTATTATATTCGTAATCAGCATGCTCGATTACACCCCTCTGCCAAATTCCAGCCCTCTAGCTCAAATTTTGCAAAAAATTGATAAAATCGACATCGATCGATAACGAAAAGTGGACTGTGACACCCGCCGGGGCCCGAAGTGTATGTGTGCCAAGTTTGGTCCGGATCGGTTAAGAAATGGAATTTTCTATTCGGAACATACGGCGGAGCCGGGTAAGCCAGCTAGTTACGAATATAATAATGACAGGGCCGGGCGGAGCCGGGTTTGCCAGCTAGTCTGGCAATAAAGATCGTGCCTCATGACATACACCCGAGGAAGGGGTGAGGAAGATTGGAAAAACGGCATGCTTTAACATAACAGGATGTCTTTGTAGAAAACATGGGAGGGGAGGACTACGACAATGATAGAAGAAGCCTGTAGAGGGCATGCAAGCATCTACTGACACGTAAAAAAATAACTTCGGAAGGCTTTGGAGCTCTGGCTAGGGTCATGATGGGTGCGGAACTATTTTTGCGTAAGTTATATGAACAGCGTTTGTGTCTCTTCAAGGAATTTTTTATGCTGGGAATTAACTCACTTCTAATCATTGCTTTCTACCATGTACTGAGCATGCATGAAAATACTAGTTGGCTACAATAAGGAACAAAGGAATTCCATCAGTTCTAAACTTCAAACACATATCACTGCACACATAAGCCAGTCCAATGGCCGCGAGCGCCGCTTTGGACTGGTACAAAATAAATTAATTTCAGAAGAACGACTACGGCACTTTCACCCGATAGAAAAACCATTTTTTCCTGGCAAGCTATCGTCGATTCGTTGACTGTACGGACTGGACATAACCGCGGAGCACGCGCCGCGAGGTAAAACGCTTGTTCCAATACAAAGCACGATTTCAGTCGAGAGCACAATTTTAACAATGGCGTATCCATTGTTGAAATCGTGCTCTCGCAACATTTTAACGGTGCCACGCGTGGTCCGCAGCGGTTGAGCAGTCCGTACGGCCAACGAATCGACGATATATAATTTTTGAAAGCGGACGACGAGAGAATTTTAATGAAGAGCCATAGTTTTAGCTCTTTTTTTTTCAAAAGTTATGATATTTTAAATAAATTCCATTCCAGGAAAAAATTTCCACCTTCACCTGATAGCAAAATCCTTTTTTCCTAGCAAGCATACTTTCTGAAAGCGGACGACAAGAGGAGTTCAAGAAATGGTAAAAGGTTCCTATAGCTTCGCAAATAAAGAAACTATAATTTTTATCAATAGAAAACCTTCGAATCCAGAAAAACGACTACGACAACCTTCGTCAGGTAGAAAACCCTCTATTTCTGGCAGGCTGTAAGTTTTTTAAAAACGAAAGAAAACTCTTGATCAAGCCCTTTCCGTCTCCATATCCTCCTGCAAGAAAAATTATTATTGTCACTATTTTGTAACGCTGTAAATTTCAGCTCCTTTTCTCCCACTAGTCGTAATTATTACTTCATACAATCTGCATACAATTTCGAAACGGACAACTACATAATGCAGTAATGTCATTGTTCTCGATCTTCAGGCAATTTTGGGGACTTGAAATATTATCATGCATTCTTACAGGATCTAACAGCTAATCCATTACCTTCCATCATTAGATTTTGTTAATTATATGTATTTCGAAGAGATGACTGACTTTTCCGCATTCTGACAGTAAAAGTGACCCTAATTATTTTAACTCGATGTAATAAGCAATTTTGGTGGCACCCATTTTTGTACTCAATCGCTACGATCTGCGCTTGAGTGACTTAATTGACATATATACATAAAGGTTTTGAACGAAAAGCTGTTCTCAAGCTTCTTCGTCGTTTCCCAGAAGTTCTGCTCCGCATCCAATGAATTTTTTAGGATTTTTCAGGCAAAACTCAACATTTGACTCTCAAGCTCGTTTGTGGTACGGTTTCACTTAAAGTATGACTTAGAACAACATAAAAAGCAATAGAACGAACACTGGCATACCCCCCCCCCCTCCAAAACGTCGAAAAGCCTTCACCCTAGAGGAGGAGCGACTATGGGTGCCTTCATACCGCGCCGGCAGCAGCCGCTAGCAGCCCGTAGCAGCCGCTGGCAGCCCTCAGCAGCCGCTGGCGGCCCGTGGCCGCCGCTGGCCGCTTTTGTCATAGAAGCCAGAATCATCAAATTCTTACCACTTTGAGTACGCCCGCCCACGCTTTCCATCTCTCAAGCTTCTTTTCTTTGCGGCTAATGTGCAGTTCCACTTTCACCATTACAAAGTTATTCAAGATAAGCACCAGCCGAGGATATGATTGAAGCAGAACCACGCATAAAAATAAACACTGCAGAAACTTGACGCATCCAAAGTCGAAATATGGTTCAACTGCGAGAGGGAAACTGAGCACCAATGGGATAACCAATGTACGGCAACAATATAATAGCAATAATGGACGCAAATATCACATATGAGAGCAAATTGCAACAGGAAGAAAAAAGCGCGGAAGACGGAAAGCGTGGTCGACTGCACTTAAAATAGTAAGAATTTGGTGATTTCGCGCTTCTATGGCAAAAGCGGCCAGCGGCGGCTACGGGCTGCTGGCTGCTGCTCTGGGCTGCTACGGGCTGCTGGCGACTGCTACGGGCTGCCAGCGGCGGCTGCCGGCGCGGTATGAAGGCACCCTATGAGCCCCTTCTCCCTAGAGAGGCATGTTCCCCTTTGCGCACGTATAAGCATAACACTGGGGTCTGGAACATCACATTCTCAGCTTGCACAAAATAGAAACGGCAAAATGCGCTGGGCTGAGCCTTCGCGATGAACAAATGAAAATTGAAACGCGCAACGTTCACCCTAAGAAAATGTGAGCCGCGATATTACAGCGTACCTTTTGATTCTTTTCCATGAGTGCTTTTCGCTCCTTATCGAACTTCTCCTTCCATGCCAGGAACGTCTCTGGAGTAACTGGGGTACCTAAATTTGTAGTTCCAAAAGAAAACAACCAACAAACTTCAGCAAAAAACAGATCAACTACGGCATCTGTTACAAACATGTAAGCGGCTTCTCAAATGCAGTGTTGGGTGCACCAGCATCTCCACACCCGCGCTGGATCATGGGTCTCTTCCGCGAACATGCTTTCTCATCATTTCTAGTCAACTGAGGCTCCGTCTCTCCCACGCTCGCTCTGGAAAACTGATGGCCGCGCGCGAGCGAAGTCCTGGTGCACCTGACACTGCAGTTGACAAGCCCTGTCATAATATGAATTATGCTAAGCCGATTGATGCGAGAAGTCTCATAACAAGCAGATTTCATTTGCAAAGGTGAAAGTTCATAATAGCTAATATGCTCAAACGCCAGGAACCTATTATAAAAATACATACATACGGAACTATTTGAGAGGTAAGGTTCGAGAAATCTAATTGACAATGCGATTAGGATTAGTTCTGAGCGAAAAACTGATGACCGGGCAGAAACGATTAGATGAAGAACGCGCGAGAAAATGTGACAAACGCAGAGCGGTAATCGTTCAGGTCATCAACCGTTTACAGCACACGCATGCTGCAACGGCTCAGCAAATCTTTGTTCTATTTTATGTACCACAATGATACAGTGGTTCCGAAGAGAAGCAGCAAGGATCTGCCAATAGAGTATTCACAACCGCTAACTTAAAGAGTACGATATGGATGTTGCAGAGGTGAAGAACTTCCACGGAAAAATAGGTAGAGTGATTCGAAGTCGCGACTAGCGATTAAACACTTAGGGGCAGCGTTCACCCAAAAATTAACGATGCTTGGATAACTATACAGTGTATATGTAGGCCCTAGAAGAACAACAACAGTGATGGTCCAGTCTTCTTATATTGTCTCCAACAGGAAACAAACGGACCTGCAGGTCGCTGGATCCTCCGGCGCTCTGCCACCTTTTCCAGCGCTCCACCGAAACGGATTGCCCGGTGACGCGTTCTGACATGGCAAGAAATGTCAAGATATACTGTGTGCAATTGCTGCATACGAGGACATGCGTGTTGGATACGACGTAACTATACCGAACCACTCGTCCACGTTTTCCAAAATAAGGCTTCAGAAAAGGGCAATTTTGTGGCTTTCCCATAACTTGCATGCACCTCATATCCGAGATAAGAGCCGTGGAAAGGTTGATAACAGTACAAACATGAGAGTCGGAATTTTGGATGAAGGCTCCCTTAAAAGGGAGTGTCCCGACAGATTTTGAGTCTCCGTCTTTCTGCATGTTTCAGGCCTTTTCGTCTCGTAGAACCCGAATTTCAGGTTCGAACCGGGTAAAGAGACCATTTTGGAGGCGTTTACCCGATTTCCAAAAGGCAGCTCGGACGAGAGTTTCTGAAAAGTTGGGAGGTCGTAGGAACACCCTGCCGCCTGCAGGGGGAGGGGGCACGCGGAAGGCGACAATGAAAAATACAAACAGTGTAAAATCGCTCTCGCTAAATTTGACAAAACTAGCGACCCTAAGGGCCGCTTGCAAGTGGGTTGGGGCAATACAATTTAGCCGTATGATTGTCAACACAATTACACCTACGTTTTATACCTTTCAGTTGTGGGCAACACGAAACTAATTAATCAGTGACTTTTGACTCTCCTCTAAATATAAGAATACTCATTGTTGATAGTCGATATCTTTTGAGTCCCTTCTAAAAATTTTCTTTGGACCAAATTTTGCCACCAACCTTGAATGAGAGTCACCAAGCAGTCTAAACTCAAAACATACTTTAGGTCCCGAAAAATTTCGGCAGCGAAAACAAGCATTGTTCTCATGCCCTGCGTGTCGCTTACAGACCACTTTTTTTGAATAAACCCTGCTCCGCGTACCGCCTACAGAGCGACATACGTAAGAGCTGCCCTACAATTGTCCAGAACGGTATTTCACGAGAAAAGCTTTCTTACGGGCCTTCTACAGAGTTGTAACCTGAGAAGGTACTGTCCTCTGAAGAACTACAAATGATATTATATTCTGGGATAAATCTGCCACGCCCCCTACACACTGATATTGCGAGGAAGCCGTATGGGCTGCTTACAGACGAAAGAAACTGCCCGCAAACGGCGATCGGTCATTAGAAGGAAATGCCCTATGGGCTACAGATCCTTAATTTGAGGAATAACTGCCCTGTGGGCTGCTTACGAACCGATATTTTTCAAAAAAAAAAACTACACATGAAAGAGAAGCCTATGAGCCGCTTGCGGTCCTTCACTTCGAGAAGAGGTTGCCCTATGGGCTGCGCACAGACCGATATTTCAAGAAGGAATTGCTCTTCAAATCTTCAAATTAACCTTCAAAAAATGCCCAAAGAGCCGCTTGGACTATTTTTTCAAGAAACAACCGTCCTTTTTATACCACAAGCTAATATTTTGAGAACAAGAGAAGCTATGAGGCTGCTTAAGACGTATCTTTTCGTCCTAACCAATGTATCAAAGAATAACAGCCCTACGCGCCACCGAAGACCGGTAACTATAGGAAGAACATGCCCTATGGGCCACTGACAGACCAATGTGTTAAGAAGTTACTCACAATCCCTATAGACCGATGTATAAAAAAATAATTGCCCTATAAGAAGCTTATGGACCGGTTCAGAAAGTACACAAACCCCTCCCCTGACTCCCAACAAACCCATACTTGAAAAAAACTGCGCTAAGGCCGCCCTACAGACCGATATTCTGAGAAAAAGCTACTTACAACCATTTTTCTATCCTCCCCCCCCCCCTCCTTCCCCCATAGACCAATAATTATGAGAAGGCGCTGCACTATGGGAATCAGCCCGATGTCCTAAAGTATTATTCTATTACCCTAGAACCCCTACAAACTGTACTGCCGTACGAAGCGCTATGATGTGCTCTTTGGAGCCAAAGACCGAAGTTTTGATCGAAAAAAATGGAGCTACCAGCTACTTAGATACCTACACAACGGTATTTCGAGGAAATACCCTTGAAATCCATACAAATCGATATTCTGTGATAAAACTGCTTTACAGGCCTCTTACAGATCACTATTTCAAAATAGAAATGCCGTATGAGATTCAAAAAAGAAATGCCGTTTGAGATTCTACAGACCATTATTTGAAGGGAAAAAACTGCCCTATGGGCCTGGAATAGAGCCGCCCTATGGGGGAAGGGGGGGGGGGGGGGAGGGAGGGGCGGTTGCAAACCGATATTTTGTGAGAAACTGCCCATGGGCCTCTTGCAGGCCATTATCTTGGTAAGGAAGTGCCCTATGCGCCTATAGAACAAATATAAAAAAACATATCTTGAAAAAAAAATTGCCTCAAGAGCCGCTCATAAATCGATATTTGAGAAAGAACCGCTCTGCGAGTCCCTTATAAACAAGTATTTGTGATTTCCCAGTATCCAAACAAAAAAATAATTATGAACCGCTTACGATATTCACGTTCATGCAAAGCAACTTTCAAAGGGACTCCCCTATGCGCCGCATACAGACCGACTATTCTAGGAGATGCTCCGGCCGCTTATAGATCAGCATGAGAAATAATTTTGCCATATGCGAAGCTTATGGAACGATAATTGAATGATTTGTGGAAAAAACTCGCTACGTGAAGCTTACAGATCAATACTATTGACAGAACTGCCTTACGAGCCCCTACAAATCAAGAAAGTGTCCTATGAACAACTACATTTATTGAAAGATCTACCCAATGGGTTAATAGACCGAAGTTGTAGGAGATGATTGCCCTATGAGCCTTAGAGACCTATAAAAATCGTTCTACGGGCCGTTTACCAACTTTTATTTCGAGAAGAACAAAGGACTGCCCTCATCAGTCCTCACCAATTATGAGCAACCATGAACCTTGACGAATTACGGGCTGCCAAGAACTTTAGCAGGAAGATGAGAGTTGAACAGTTGAAGCGTAAACGTTGAGAAACTACTGCAGCATATTTACGCAAGACACCGAGTTCCCAAGTCATACATCCGAACTTTCAATTTTTGCTACGCGGCGGAGTATGCACAGTAAAATCATAGGGTCCCGCAGCGACTCGCGTCCCAGCCTTGGCGGGGACCGTTGAATTTCAAACTGTGAAGCTCTGGAAAACGTTGAAAAATGTTGCTCTGGAAAAAAAACGAAAACGTTCTCGCCGTTCTCGCGCCTTCTAATGCGGATCTTCGGACTCAGCGTTGCAAATAACCACTGGTAAGTGGGTTTTCTAAAAATCGAGTTTTTGTGCTTATCTGGGCCCATTCGCCATGCTGAATCCGAAAATCCACACTGGAAAGCGCGAAAACGGCGAAAAACGGCTCTAACGCAGGAGGGAATCAGCATGTGGGCGGAGTCCTCCCTGCTGTGAATTCACGCTCCCAGCTTCTGGAGCGATTTTCTAGAATCCGTTAACCGCCCTGACATCATCACCGGTCAAGTGCAAACGAATGAATTGAAACCGGAATCAAAAAGATCGCCCGCGAAGCTGGGAGCGTGAATTCACAGTGGGGAAGACCCCGCCCACTTGCTACTTCCCGCCTGCGTTAGAGCCGCTTTTCGTCGTTTTCGCGCTCTCCAGTGTGGATTTTCGGATTCAGCATAGCGAATAGGCCCGGGTAAGCACAAAATCTCAAAATCGAGTTTTTGCCCGGACACTGCCTTCAAGGCCGACATATATCAAGCCACAGGATCAATTGCCTTTGCCAGCAAAATTAATGCAGTCGTCTTCACCAGTAGAGACAAGCCGCACGGTTTAAAGACAGCGTCCGGGCAAAATTTCGAATGGAATTTCTTTCGCTTACCTGAGCTTAGTCCTCCCTCTGATTCTGAAAAAGCGACTTAGAGGGCACGAAAACGTCGAAAAGCGGCTCCAGAAGCTCTTGATTTGAATTTTGTCGCCTGCCGCCAAGGTTAGGACGCAGAGTCTTTGTGGGGCTCTAGGTCTTGACTGTGTGCGGTATGCGCACTCTGGCTTATCGAACTAACTCGTCCCCGGTCGCCGGGTCGTTCCGGTCGCCACTTCTGAAGCGGATTTTTAGTTTCAGAAGCAACTTGGTGCATTGCCAGTTGGGCAAGAGCTTATCAGGATGGGTGCTTCAGTAGTACATTTTCGTATATGGCCAGACGCTGCCTTCAAACATGTTGGTGTTCATGCAAGGCACAAGTCACCAATCGAAATAAAAAAGCTCAAAGGTATGGATGCTCAATATCGTATATTTCTCGAAAAGTATGAAGTACATGAGTTCGATGTACATAATACGAGAGAGCAACGGATGGCACGGGCGGGTGGGATGAGGGGAGGGGGAACAGGGTCCGGAGGGTCACGACTGAAATGACTCCCTGAGATTTAGGGCCGCATACATTGACATAGCCGCCGGGGAGGGGATCGCAGCTTCAAAAGAAAGCTTAATATTCTGAAGCTCCAGATATCTGGATTTCACGCTGTCTACCTTTTCGTAAGTATTCCCACCAACCTTCACTATGAACATATTGATCGGGAGCAAGAAGCTGTAAAAAGCGCATTTTTCTGCTCTTTATATACCCTGATGAGCCCCGGCGGCCGCCGTCTTTTCTTCAAAGTCATTTTTCATCGTTCAATGTTAAGGAAAACCCTCCAGAGTTGTACCGATTATCTGACTAAACAGTGCTAAGCATGTTGCGATAAGAACAAATGATTTGTTGAAATATCGATTTTTTTGATAAACCCCAACTTTCGACTTGTGGTTCGTTGCAAATCTCATTACTTCGAAACATCACTTGTTCTTGCCAAAAGCATGATTAGCACTGTTGGGTTAGATGAACAGCACAACTTTGAAATATTTTTATTGACTTACAAAAAAGAAAAATGACTTTAAGGAAAAGGCAGTCAGCAGAAGGGCATAATCAAGGCATCAAAAAGAGCTGAAAAATGGGCTTGTACAGCTTCTTGCTCCAGTTCAAGACGTTCATAGTGAAGGATGGTGGGAGTGCTTACGGGTAGGCAGACAACGTGAAATCCAGATATCTGGAGTTTCAGGATATGAAGCTTTCTTCTGAAGCCACGATCCCCTCCCCGGCGGTGATGTTAATGCATGCGGCCCTTCGGGTAAGAAGCACAAATGACAACTTTCTCACAGATTATAGCCCTGGTTAATTAGAAAGTACCAGGGCTATAATCTGTGAGACGCGAGAAAAAATACAAAGCAATCTCAAACAGAAAAAAGTAATCGCCAAACCCAGATATGTCTCCTCTCTTTGAGCAAATACCAACCCTACAGTTTTGTAGTTCCCACAATAAACATAGCTGAAAAAAAAAACATGTACAACAGCCTTCAATTGCTGAGCAGCGCAAGGCAAGAAATGTCAGTCAATTCAATAAAGAACAGGTCAGAAATAACGAATAGCAATAATAATGAAAAACTTTAAGTATGAAAAAAAGGAAGGTGACTGAGCAATGAAGCAACTACGAACAAAAAAGGCAATCGCTGACCAAACTTTGCGTTGAGACATGCTTCAAAACTTGCCGAATGCAATTTGAATGATGCTACATAAATCGACCTCTAGATAGTCTCACCTTCAAATTTTTTTCGCGAGATGGCCTCCTCTTTTTGCTTTTCCTCTTCAACTTTCAATTCGGCTTCCTTCATCTTTTCCGCAAGTAAGACTCCCAGCTCATCCTTGAACAAAACAGAGAACATAGTTGAGTATTTAAGACGCTCAGGTCTACCTGCAGGGCGCTGACTACAGTGAACACCATAACCATTCCTAGGTTACTACCCGCTTCATTTTCCAGTAACTAAAAACCACTGTTCTACGTGAATTTTTTAAATGGTCAAAATTCGAAATGAGATGATAAGAATTGTGAATTGCCAACTTGGACTGCCTTCTGTATGCGTTCCTTGGTAAACAGATGATCAATGCCTTCAAGGCGAATCCGCGGTATAGCATCCGGGTAATCTTCCGGCAACTCTACCACGAGAGCGACTTCAAAATCCGATGGGGATTCATTTTCCTGGAGATAAAAGCAGAAATAGCAACGCGCTCGGCAAGCATCTTAACGATTCAGCAAGATATCTCAAAACATACAGCATTCGATACTCGTGAACATGATGAACAGGGAATGATTTTTTAATAGAACACAAACACACGTAAAGAACACATACAGAACTGGAAACTATAGAAATTATCTTCATGCACGAAGTTAAAACTCACTGTTGGAAATTATAGGCCTTGTAAAACCTAATTGTCCGCGCCTACCTTGAGCACCAGCGTAAACGAGCGGTCGACGCGAACGACTGTAGGCATTCACTCTTTCTCAAAAAATTTCTCGCCAACTTCCATTTCGTTTTCAACAATGTAGAGTATATTTTGACGAAAACTTCTTGAGAGACTTATAAAAAATATGCGTGAAAGCAGCGCTCGCTCTGTCGCTAAGCCTGTAGCGCTACGGGACCCAACGTTTCCAGACACCCCGCGCGTTGGTGTTCAAAGCGACGCATGGGCAATTGTTAAATTTATTTATTTTTATTTATTATTTATTTCAATGCCACAAAGGTGCGCCAAGAGGAACAATAAAAGTAGAAATGCAGAAGACAACAGATTTTCGGATCATAAAAGGCCTATATACAGCACTCGCGCCTTCGTGCACATCTAACTTCTTTCTTTTATATATGAAAATAGTCGTTGTACCTATTCAAGAAAGGTGAAATCACGGGAAACCGCACGGCTCCCGCAGCGAACACTTCCGCAAATCCAGCACCTTTAGATTACTGGTTCATCAGTTATGCTTGAGCAATCAAAAGTCACGAAATATTGGGGACCAAGTGGGTTAATTAGCTGCTGCTCCCGGTTAGAGACATTCAAAGTTAAAACCTCAAAATTTTACTGATTTTGTTGGAATTCTGAGGAAAACAAAGACAAAAGTGACATACTTGTTCTCTGTTACTGTTTATGTTCTTGCTGCGTTTTTTTAGATTGGCACGCCTTGCGCGTAGTAAATAAATAAATAAATAAATTTAGAAAAGGGCTACCAAAGTCATAGTGTCACTAGTCAGTGTTTGTCTTGAAGCCGCAAGATTGTAGGAAATGGACTACTGGTAAGGCATAAGTCGATTTGGAGCAGACATTAAGCCGGGGCATTTTGGATCCTCGGCCCGGGCGGGACCGAGGAAGGCAGTTAATGCTTCATAAAACACGAAATGACGAAAAACCCATCTGACAATAAGAATCGCGCCTCTTGACATACACCCCAAGATCTGCACAACAGATTGTGATGCCCAATTGTTGCTTCGCTATAACCGCCTTCATGAAGAAACAACATCGCAAAAATGTGCAAAGTATATGAAATATAATACCGATATAGGATAAACTGCAAAATCTATCTAGCTATATAGATGCTCATCATCGACTAAGAAATGTGCCGAAAAATATGAAAGACGCTAGTTTTTATTGCATCCAATCTCCGAATCTTGTCCAACTAATGTCTGAAAATGTATTACCTGATTAGATTTGAGGTTGACTCGCACAGAGATGTTCGGATACTCATCACAGATTACTTCTAATTCCTCTTCTTGATAAATTGCTTGTAAAGCTTCGATCTCTTGGATCTGTTGCTCTTTATGATCCATTTAGATAAACCCCTTCTGATGGAGGATTCTGGAGGTTAAGCAAAGCAGGGAGAGTTCCTAAAGATAAAAATGTACAACCTCATCTGCATCACTATGTTTGAACTGCTCTAATATCAGCTCAACCGAGAATACATACTAAAAAGGCCAGCAATGGACGCTCATCATTAAGTTAGAAAATTAAAAAGTATGTAATGGTGGAGATGACTGTTTCAGACCGATCCCGAGAGATCGCCTTCCTCCTTTGAAATCAGGATTTGCCGCGCAGGACCAGTCGCAATTTTTGGCGTATCTCAACAGATGCTAGAAGGGGAAGGGGGAGAACAGGAAGAACAGTCCGGGGAACGTCCGGAAGGCGACAAATGACCTAGAACAGGCGCAGCTAGTGGCCACGCCCTGTCCGAGTTCCCCGTTGTTAGGATGCTCTGGATATTGGGATTGGGGCGCTTCTATACACATTGCGCATGGCTCTCTTAATCTCTGACTTCGTCGTTTGTTCTCTGGTTTTTTGGACGTCTTTGTTCGTGTATGTATATTATTGCTCATTGTGGTAATGTGATGATTTGCTTTCTTTTGTATTCGCCTCTCTGTGAGCATATGCTCTTCTGTCTTTTCTAAAAAGTTTTGTTTCAGGCTGCAGCAATATGCATGGTGCAATAAAAGATCATCCTAGTAAGGAGGTTAGTAGATATCTGCGTTCTTGAGTGATGTGATGTTTTGTATTTTTCCATGGGTTAGGTATTTAGTTAACTATACCATTTATACGTTAATTAGTTTTTGTGCAGACCTCGTCCAAGTTGATGATGTCGAGCGGATAGAATGTGAGTAGAACTCCACTCAACAACGGTACTATAAGCCAGTTATATCAAGTAAAGGTGAGCTATTATTTTTTTGCATCTTCTTTACAATACGACTTTTCTTCAGGCTGAACATAGAAGAAGATTTTGAGCACTTTGAGCAAGGACGCATTCTGCGGTGGGATCTCGATGTTGAGACTGTTCGATCACTTCAAATTTTTTATTTCAGCTGTCGCTTGCAATACACTGTAATGTGATAGTGATATAATAATCACTCTTTTTTCTAATTGTTAGCATCGCTGCCTTTTTTTCACTGAGAATAAAGATTTATCGTTCAAACTGTAAAACAGAAGAGCGCAGAAAAGCCGAGGAAAGGTCATAGAATTGATTATGGACAGAATGCGAGTATGCTAGCGGGTTGAGTAATTGGACAATTCTGGATTTCCGGCAAAAAGAGTTTGTATCTCTTCCACCGAAAGGGAGCTGATTTGCAACAGTATGATAGTTTTGATTTATCTTGTCTCTTTGAACAATACCACACTGCCTTTGCATGTCTTGATTACCGTTCATGACAAGCTCAGTCGTTGCGGTGCATGATCTATGAATCTGAATGTGACAAATCGACTTCCGTGAAAGGAATGAAGATCGCGGAAAAACTGCACTTCTAGGTTAAAAGAACGCGCTTTCGAAGAAATTGATCTGCTCATAACCCGTCTTTTGGGCGGCGAATTGCGATTATGTTCTCTCATTTGTTCCAAAGCTATAATGACTTGTCTCGTAGGTCTGTAATGCTTGATCTTTTCAACCTTGAATTGAGGAAACCAAAAGTTGCACTACCAAACTCATGGACAAGTATCAACAAGGGAATAAATTTCAAGTGACACATTTACTCCGTACGCTGCTTAGCCCATATTTGACCACTAGTTTGACCGAAGGCAACAAGTAAAACAATGGAAACTCCAAAGAATGCTGTTACCATTCGTGCGCCAGCGCGTGTGCCGAAAAAGCGTCAGTCCCTGGCCTGATTGACCTGACGCTCAGTGTCGCAGGCGCCCATGAGGGGCGTGGCCTCCATGCGCTCGCTCCAACTGGGTTTTGTCGCCTTCCGGGCTACACCCGAACAGGCCTAGAACAGGCGCAGCTAGTGGCCACGCCCTGTCCGAGTTTCCCGTAGTTAGGATGCTCTGGATATTCGGAATGGGGCAACTTTATACACATTGCGCATTTCTCTCTCAATCTCTGACTTCGTCGTTTCTTCTCACGTGTTTTCTAAACTTTCGTTTCGTTTATGTATATTATTGCTCACTGTGGTAATGTGATGATTTGCTTTCTTTTGTATGTGCTTATTTGTAAGCATATGCTCTTCAAAACTGCCTTTTGTAAGAAAATTTTGTTTCAGGGTGCAGCAATATGTATAGTACAATAAAAGATCATCTTAGTAAGGAGGTTAGTAGATATCTGCTTTCTTGAGTGATGTGATACTCTTGTATTTTTTCATAAGTTAGGTATTTAGTTACTATACCTTACTTTTATATGTTAATAAGTTCTTGTGCAGACCTCGTCCAAGTTGAAGCAGTGGTATCAACGCAGAGTACTAGAATTCCATTCAACAACGATACTGTGAGTCAGTTATATCAATTAAAGTGAGCTATAATTCTTTTGCATCTTCTTTACAATGCGACTTTTCTTCAGGCTGAACATAGAAGAAGATTTGGAAGCATCCTGCGGTGGGATCCCGATTTTGAGATTATTCGAGCAATTCATTTTTTTCTTTTGATTCCAACTGTTGCTTGCAATACACTGTAATGTATTAATGACAAAAACCATTCTTTTTTTTCTTATTGTTAGCAGCGCTGCCTTTTTTTTCATTGAGAATAAAGGATTACCGTTCAAACTGTAGAACAGAACAGCGAAAAGCACGAGAAAGGTCATAGAAATTGATTGTGGACAGAATGCGGGTTTGCTAAGCGGGTTGAGTAATTAGACAATTTTGGATTTCCGGCAAAAAAAGTTTGTATCTCTCCCACCGAAAGGGAGCTGATTGCAACAGTATGATCGTTTTTATTTACCTTGTCTGTTTGAACAATACCACACTCTGCCTTTGTCATGTCCTGATTACCGTTTATGACAAGCTCAATCGTTGCGATGCATAATTTATGAGTCTGAATGTGACAAATCGACTTCGGTGAATCAAAAGGATGAAGATCGCGGAAGAACTGCACTCCTAGATCAAAAGAACGAGCTTTCGAGGAAATTGATCTGCTTATAACCGTCTTTTGGATGGTGAACTGCGATAATGTTCTCTCATTTGTTCCAAAGCTATAATAACGTGTTTCATAGGTCTGTAATGCTTGGTCTTTTCAATCTTGAATTGAGGGAACCAAAAGTTGCATTAATAAACTTATGGACAAGTATCAACAGGGAGATAAACGGGTTTCAAGTGACACATTTACTCCGTACACTGCTTAGTCCATATTTGACCAATAGTTTGACTCTAGGCAACAAGTAAATCAGTAGAAACTCCGAAGAATGCTGCTACCATTAGCGCGCCAGCGCGTGTGCCGAAAGAGCGTCAGTCCCTGACCTGGTTGACCCCACGCTCGGTGTCACAGGCACTCATGAGGGGCGTGTCCTCCATGCGCTCGCTCCAACTGGGTTTTGTCGCCTTCCGGCCTACACCCTGCTACAAGTTAGGTAAATGCTCAAGATTACATACCGTACATGCGTGTCCTTCAATAAGCTGGAGCGCATTTTTGTGGGGAACGTCCGGAAGGCGACAAATAACTTAGGAGTGACCGTAGATTTGCCCGCAGAAACGAATACTTGCGATTGGAGCAGGAATCTTCTTTAGAGCACCTTATCTTTCCAGCCCTGATTTTGAGAACGCCTTCGCGAAATACGCTCTTTTCTGCTTCTTTTAATCTATCTATCATCTGCAGCTCAACTCCCTATACGACGAACTTCAAGCATGCTAAACATATGATTTTATTGAGAACAAGTTGCAAACACAACTTGTACGTATAATTTACACCACTGAGAATGCTTTGATGTTGGTTTTTGAACTTTAATTTCATGGTTGTAATCTGGACATCATAACATTCGTGTCTGCACTCTTTAAGAAATGGCTTTAACACATTTTTGTGCGTAATGCAAACTAGGTAAATATTCGTTTCACTCTTTTTATTTTTGGTATAGGGGAGTCAACGCGCGTAGAGACGTCCGAGCTGTTTAGGTCTAGCCAGATTGAAAGTTTTATTAAAGTTTTGTTGAAAACGCTTCTTTAGAGAGACGCCGCTAGCGTCCGCAGCGAGTGTCTCTGTGTGCAATGAATCGTCTATTCTATTCCAATACAATGATTTTAAGAAGTGAAAGTCTCAGATTTGCTGAAACTTCTTATAGGGGCGTTATTTAGCATGTTGATAACAGATATGTCATCCATTCGTTGCAGTAATCCTTTGTGGTGGTACAGTGGGATTCCTTTGCCCTCGTGCCCCTGTCAACACTAGAGGGAGTAGATGGATTTATTCAGCAACAAAAATAAGCCGGAATCTCCGGCACACGACAATATGAAGAGTGAGGGGACATCGGCCAAAGGAGGCTGGCCGATGAGCACAAAGAGTCAAACATGTGGCAGGCTCTTTGTGCCAGAAATGAGTAACATAACCAAATGTAAACAAAATGGGACAAGGAGTTAAGTCCGGGTCGTGTCTATATCACGACACCCTTATAGTGTGGTTACGGAGTGAGTATCGTGCATCCCCCAGAACTGTTCCTGTATGAACCATCAACGTGGTGTTTTTTATCGTTTTAACATGTTAATTCCAGCAAATTAAAGCGCTTATTCGAAACTGACATGTTAAAATGATCGAAAGACAGCAACGTTGATGGTTCATGTGGGAACAATTCTGGGGATGCACCATAAGTATGGGGTGAAAAACCCATATACTGCGGAAGCTTCTTATATAGAGGTTATCTGACACACTGATTACGAATGTCATGCCCTATGAGCATGTTGGTTCCTCTTGGTGGAGTTTCGACAATTATATGGAGAAAGGCACCTTTGTGAAGTCAGGGCATACACCTATAAATTTTTAGGCCATTTTAACTTCAGAAATCCATGAGAGGAATGTGTGCGGACTGAGTGTAACACATGATCAGAACGTGAGATATCCCCCCCCCCTATCCCTTTCCACGTTCCCAGATACTTGATTCTGGCCCCTTACGTAGACCTACGTAAACCCACGATAAGGACTACCATAACGAGTAAAGGTATCCTCGATTCATGACACGCAAAGACTGGGCGCCGTTGCGTCCGGCCAAGATAGTTCTTGCATGGGAGAGACACCAGATGGAAAGAGAAACGATAGAGCGCTTGATTAGAGAGACGCCGACATGTCCATTCTTTGCGTGCTATGAATCGCCTATACATCAGTTAA